ATGTGTGAGTTTCATACATGGCTATTTAAAAAAAAACACCCTTGACTTTCTCACCATACTAACATTGCATTTAAGTGAAGTTTCAGGAAGAACTGATGACAGACCTAGAAAGTGGCATCATTCTTAAAGGATGTATAGGCTCCTTACGCTTTGTAGTCAGTTTAACTCTTTGAATCAAACATGTAAACCACCTGTCTGCATAGAATCAAGACTTAAACTGTCAGGATTTTTTATAAGTGATTCCTCCTATTTAATTCTGTCTAGCAACAGTTCTTTTAGAGTGCTACTACTACTTTTAAAATATTTATGATTAATTATTATTATTATTATGCAAAAAACCACCACCAATATAAATATAACTTTCCAATCTACCTTGGGATCAGAGAGACAACATCTAAATCAAAGAAGAAATGCCAGCATCAATGAAATAATGAAATGCATCATTATCTCAGATTTTGGGAACACAATGAAGTGTAATCAAATAAAAATAGCCACATTTACTTGCAATGAAATGCTCAGGAAAAGCACCAGCAATTAAAAACCAGAAAAATTCAACATTCATTTGTGTATTAGAAGCCCCTTAATGACACATGGCAGCAGATCACAAAGAGCTTATAGTAACATTCCAAATTTTAAACTACACACTAAGAAACCTGGTTATATAAAAGTTTTTTGCCTTATCCCTCTTGCCGTAACTATCAAGGTTACCTTTTGACATTTGATAAACCGGTAGGACCCTTTTAGGGTCTGATCCCACATTCCTGGCATTCAGAACATTCTTGATGAAGTCCATAGGATTTTGGGGTGCATGGAGAATGCAGTATCACTGTTCATCTGACAATTTGCTCACTGCTCATCTGACAATGAAATCTGACCAACAGGCAAAACTATGCAACCTGTGACAGATGTCAGAGACCCTCATTTTTTAAATATCTAATTTTCAAGACACCTTTAGATTGCTCAGCACTAATCTTGCTAAAAGGAGTATTAGAATACTTTAAAGCATCTTGATACTCAAAAATCCAAAATAATGAGATCTAGTGTATCCTGATACGAAAACAGAACTATTTAATAGTCAAACTACTATTTCTCTGTTACAACTAGTGCATCAGATGTCTAATCTAGCAAAGACTCTTGTATAAAAAGGAGATAGATATCTATTTACCTGCCTATTTTTAATTATATTTTATGGGTGATCAGTTCATTAGTCAGTTTTCTACTGAAGACTGCATATAAACCAAGGTTGAGCAGAATGAGGCCTTAATCCTGCTCTCACTGAAGTCAGTATCAAGTTAGCGATTAACTTCAATGGGACCAGCATCAGGCCCTAACTCAGACTGGGACTCAGGGAAGAATTGGATGATAGCAGTCAAACTTATGCACAGAAGTAAATAAAGCTGAGCAGAGAAATGCTTAGAAATAGTTTATGATTCTTAAAATACCATGAGCAATAGAGTTTTCAAGCTGAGATAGTTTTCTTTTAAAAACTAAAGGATTTATGAGCAACCTCAGTGGGAATTTAGTATGTGTGGAATGCAGGATTGGGCCCTAGATGTTTATATTGAACAATGATAAATTTTCATTGCTGGGAAACTCAATTTGACCTGCAGTTTGGGCAGGTTTCCCACACACCCCCAGCCCATAACTGATCTGGTGCAAGCAAGGCATGGCTGTAATTAACATCTTTCCATCTACGCCTAATACCTCAAAGCAATAACAAAAAAATAAGGATGTTAAAATTTCAAACACTAATTATGGGCTGTTATATTTACTAAACATAGCAGAATAATAACAAAAAGTTGCAGCTTTTCAGTGGCTAACACTAAAAGATTTGATTTATAAAGTCCCTGCCCCTCTTCCAGTCACTGAATTATATAACATTTAATAGTGCACTAAAATAAAATTCAATATGTGCATTTATTACCAAACAAATATGACAAGACTGCTTATGGCTGCCTGCTTTTCCAGCACAGGTATTGCTTTTGCAAAGATCAATGATTTCTTCCCTGTTCTTATTTCCCTCCCTCCCCTAATTAAGTTATATAAATATCACAGCAGTGGCAATCTAGAAGGGAAATATACAGCCTCTGAATATCCCACTTGCAGAAGTCACACGGTAAATATTGGCTAGTCTCGTATTTCTTTTAGTTACTTTCCTTCAGCTGTATTTTCAAGTCTGGCAAAAGGAATAATATTGAGAGTTACATTAGTACCTAATATACTGCTGCCATCACCACCTAACCTACACATACACATAAAACACACACACACACACACACACAATGTATCTTGATACCACTTAATAAGAAGAGAGGTGTATGAATTTTGGGGGTGTCAAACAGCTGTCACATACTGTCACCTCCACAAGAGAAACCTTGGCATACAACAAATTAAACTACACTTCTTTTTAGCTGTCATTATTCATAGCCAATCAGTTGAAATGCTTCTAGTATTTCATGTGCAAATAAAACCAAGAGGAAGATCCCTGGATCAGAACAGTGGGCCAACAGATAAAACAGAGGAAACAACATGCTGTCTCTGTCCTTCTGAAGGGGATCATCAACACCCCACACCAATTTTCACCAAATGAGATCTAGCCTGAGGCAATGTATTAAATATGCATATCAAACCAAATGAAAAAATAAACCTGGAGAGTCAAATTGGACAAATTTGCATGCTTGAACTATTTCATTTTTTTAGGTAGATGCACACAAAAGAACAGTTCAATTTTTATTCTGGTATTTGCATACTGACAATTAGAAAAGGTTTTCCTTCTGTATAAATAGAGGTGTATTACTCCTTAATATAGAACAGCACCGTATAAACACTCCTTATTGTAGCCCTGTCAAAAGTGTGTGTGTGTGTGTGTGTGTGTGTGTGTGTGTGTGTGTGTGTGTGCGCAAAGTTTTCTTAGGAAAACAAGCGAACATTTTTTTAAAAATCCAATAAGGAGACACATTTCCCAAAACGCATGAATAAAATGTAACTATGATACAACTCTTCATTTCCCAGTTGGTGTTCTGGTTGCACAAATTATTGCTTCCTTTCAAAACAAATAGCAGGGGGCTAAAGTAAAAAATGTTATAGCTCAAATCTCCAGGAAATAAAAGGCTTTAAATTATAATACCCAATGAAGTGGTAAACCCTAAAGGGTGCAAGATAAATGGGTTGTCATATTTACTTGAGTTTGTTTTTTGGGCCACAAAAACAACAGGAGATTCTTCTTAGTGAAGATAATAGTTATCAAATTATCAAAATGCTAACCCCTTCCAACCTTGTCCTATCATTGTGTGCGAATTTAAATATTATAATAGAGTACTGCAAATTGGCTTGAGCATTCGCCATCTGCCAGAACCCTAAACAGGCTAGTTTATCTAATCTCTTCAATATAAACATCAGCATGCTCCATTTCTACACTTCCACTTGAAACACACTCTTGTAAAGAAACTGTACTGGAAAAAAGATGTAGGGTTTTTGTATTGCTCTGAATTAGACAGAATGAGCCTATATCTTTCAGGTTGCCATTCATTTAAATTTCTTTTCTACTGGTCCCATAATGCTTGTGCATACAAATTTAGGGTTGAAAATGCTATAAAACAGATATTTTAAAACTACTGTCATGCCTCATAGACTCTATTATCTACAGATGAGATAACTGATAAGCAGAGAAACTTTCAGTAACTGCTGCATACATTTTTCTTTGAAAATAATAAGTTTAAAATGCATACTGTCATAAGAATCTAGCCCCACAAGGTTTACCAAATGCTAATGAAGAATTGAAAGCTAAACCCTGGAATACAGAAACCATTTCCAGTGTCCTGGAACTTCAAGCATTAAAGACTTTTTTTTAAATATATATTTTTTATTTCTTACCATGACCCTCGATACCACTCAAATATAATTATTAAAGGTGCAAACAACATATTTTCAAATTTAAAAAACTCATAGGAATCAGATTATCTATTAATTTAAATCTACTTTTCTTACTACACAAGACAAGACAGGTAGGTGCCTGTGCAGAACACTGTTAAAACACACCAGGCATTAAATGCATACTTCAGTCGCTAAAATATTAGATGTATCATTTAGATTATGAGTTCAAATGAACCTAAAACTGTGTAAACCCCTTTCTCTCCAGGGATGCATTCCTATAAATAAACTATAGTTCACACCCACTCTTTTTAATAATAGCTATTTTGTTCCCTTTTCTCCTCTACCAGCTGCAATCTTTTCTTTCATTTTCCCTCTCCAAATGTCTATTTATTTGTATATACACATCCTAAAGCATTACAAGATCTGCTCCAAAACACAAACCAGAGAAGTAAAGCCATTCTTCCTAACATAAGCACCACGGTTTAAACCAACACACATAACAATAACTCACCAACTACTAAAGTGTTAAAATCAACCACTAACCTACGGTTACTCAATCATAATTCTCTCCAGCTTTCTGTAATACATTGTTAATAATTGGTTCATCAAGGTTACTGTCTTTTATTATGAAGATGCTTCAGGCACTTGGCAATAAGTCCATATTCTGACAATAAGTTGCTATCAAGCAAATGCATTGGAAACTTCAATGTGTTAACCCTTTTCTTAATGAAAGGTGAAACTGCCAATAATTCTCATCACTTGTCATCTGCACAAAGGGGGAGGGGGGAGTCACCAAACTTTAGTCCCTAACTTTCTCGACACTGTTTTCCTGCATTGCCGAATTGATTACAGGGATGGCAAAGCAGAAAAAGCACCGATCACCAGATCACATAGATAATTCGCTATCGCTGCAAGTCGCCCAGATCAGGAGGAAACTTAACAAATCATAAGCAAACTCCCTATGCTACAGATAGACTGAGAAAGCGGGGAGGGAGAGTCAACTGTAAGAACTTTAAATCTCGCAGGGGAATGGGGGCAGGGAGCAGAGAGAGACACTGGCTAAAAAAGGAGCCTTCTAAGCAGGTTAGTCTCTTTAAACATGCTATAAAGGGATCAAGTTGACTTACATGGTCGGCTAAATTTGTGGAAGATCCTGAGAGTTCTTCATGGTCAGATTTGGAGCTGCCATCCCTTTCGTCAATAACTAGATCTATTGGCATTTTTCCTTTCAAACAGCTAATGTACCGATGGCAAAAATTATCGCACAACTCGTGGACCTGGGGGAGGAAAAAGGAAGACAAAATATCGAATTGCAACTTTTTTTTTCGTAGCAAGAGCAACTCTGTGATCTATTCCACGAGTAACTCTAATTAAGGGGCATAATAGTGGAAGGCAAGGAAACAATAGAGAAATTGTTGCGGCACATATTATTCTCTAGAGACTTGCCGCAGCAACAAGTTAGAGAGAGACACAGAAAGAGAGACAGAGACAGAGCGAGAGACTGGGCTCAGTCTAGTATATAGATGAAACCCCGATTTGTTGATAACATCAAAACATTGGAAAGTGGACCAAGGCAATATCGTTGGAGCATATACAGTTCAGCCAGGTAGAGTTGTTAACATAGGAGAGGGGATCTGTTTGAAGTGGGGCTAGAGCTGTATGTATTTCCAGGCCTTGTAAAAATAAATAAGTGCTCTTATGGTTTGAAAAGATCCCAGTTTGATCTCAAAACATAGCTACTCCCCAGAGGAACCGCCACCTCTTGCTTAATCACAACAGCTAATGCTCAGATGAATATGGCGATCGGATCTGGATTAGAGCAGAGGTTATTTAATTCTGTAAGAAATAACCCGAATCCGCGAAATCGCACCCACTGAAAGAAAGAGTAGGGTGAATGTAAAGGGGTTCAACTATTTTTCAAGGACCCGATTCGAATTGCAATGAAAAAGAAACGCCGGGCTGGACTTCACATGTTTATCGAATGCCACATGCTCCTTACGGTCCAGATTACAGTATCGCTCTGGCTTTCCCCTCTAGTCTTTTGCCCGGTTCACAAGTGTCTGCAACCAAACCGGAGGGGGGTGGGGGGGAGAAGAAGAGATAACGAGAGTAGGATCCACAGTCCCCAGCACCCTGGGTCTTACCTTTTCTAATTCCAACAGATGAAACCTTAGTACTTGTATTGCTTGGATCATCTGCAAGAAAGTTTTGAGCAAGGAGTTATTTGTGAGAAGGGACGCACTGGGGTCTGCGCATAGCTGCGAGCCCCAATGGGCAGAGAAGGGGCTTGTCAGGGCGCACACTCATTAGCCAGGTTTTTAGCTCATTGGTCACGCCTGAGCAATTTTGATCAACTTTAACCCCCAGCACTGGATTTTTATAACGTGGATTTGAGGAGCGGGGATTCGCGTTGCACTGGGAGCTAGAGAAATCTCCCTCCCTCTCCCCAGTATTTATTTCTGGGGTTCCACACAGCACCCAACCACGCACACACCTTAAAAGAAAGAAAAAAGGGAAACGCTCAAAATGCACCGTTTGGCATCTCCTTTACAAGCAGCTTTGGGCACTTTTACTATTGAAATCAGCCGCATTAGCAAAAGAATTGCGCTAGAAATCTCCAGCTCGCTCTCTCTTTTTAGTTATTTCCTTCCCTGTCGCTTCCCGGGGCTTTAAACACAGCTTTGCAATGCATTGGGACACTGGTTCACTTTAAAGGGGAAGCTCTTTGAAGCCTCTCGGATGCAGGGTTTTTTTTAAATCTTTCTCTTCCCCTGTCCCCCCCCCCCCAAACCCTGGATAGCTGAACCTGTAACTTGCGGCCGCCCCCAGCCTCCTCACTTATAATGATCCCTTCATGTTTTAGCAAGGTGCTCATCATTAATGGGACAAACTGGAGGAAGGGGGGGCAAATGTAGAAGCCTTACCAAATTGTCCAACTCTGGGTTTGAAGAAAAAAGTGGCTTTTCAGCGCGGACCTGCGAGAAGTAGGACAGGCAGTGTGAATTACAGCCCCGCTTCAAAGCCCTGTAAAGCCAGTCACTTGCAGCAAAAACGTGTGACAAACTAGCGAGGAGAAATACGCCCGGGCCAGATTAAAATATGAATACACTCCGCGAAATAACAGTGTATGTGAAAAAGAGTCTGAACTGCGGCCAGCCCGGTGCCTCTCAGAGCCCTCTCCTTTGGAACTCTTGTATTTCTCGGGTTGAGTGTCTGGCTAAAAAGCCTCTCACAGGGACTGGCTTGGTGGGGATGAGGGTCTGGGGGGGAGCCAGGAGTTGGTGAACTAGTGTAAACAGTCTAGAACCGGCTCTTTTTCGGTTGAGGCCAATTCGGATCGATGGCAGAGCACATTTTCCACCCCACACCTCCACCCCGACTTCCAGGGCAGAATTAACAGCCCGGAGCCGCCTCCTCTCTCTCTCTTTCTGAAAGTGAGGTAATAGGTGGCTTGTGTGTCTGTCTATGTGTGTGGATGGGGAAATCGGGATCGGGGGGCTGTGAAAAAGTGTTGGACCTGTTTAGCGAAGACCGCGATGTCCTCGTTGAAAGAGTCCGAGGAGCAGACATCCCCGCCGGCCACACCAGGCTCCCGGGGAGTGCAGGTCGCCAGCTCGCACTTCTCAAAGACCAGCGCTAAGAGGGGGAACAACGGGTGCCTACCGGGCAGTGACACACAAAGAAGGGGGGGGAGGCAAGAAAGAAGAGCTCTAATCAACAAGTATATCCACACAAACACTACACCCTGCAGCCCTCCACAATGCCTTCAAACAGAGCAAATGCAAGTTACAACTTCACAAAATATTTAAAAAATGTAAAATCCCAAACCGCATCCACTGTTGGATCCCACAGACCAGAGACAAAAATAACCTAAGCACAGAAGAAAACAAACGCGTGCACACATCACGGGAGCTCAGCTGTGAATCTTACACTTTTAGCCACAGCTTTAAATAATACGAAACCAGGACAATCCCATCCCTGCCCCCAAGCTATAACCTAAAATGAGAAACACTGTTACGCAAACTGTTCGAACGACTTCGTATTTGGGTTTTTTTTTCTTTATTATTTTTAAAGGAGACTGCTAGCTAAAATGTGGTAAAGTTTCCTGGCTTAGCAAGCACACCCAAGTAAAATACCAGCTGTCTAGATAACTGAGCTGGATGGGGAGGGGGGGGGGGAGGGAGAGAAACACTTCTAGAAATATTTTCCCATAATTGGAGTAGTCATGAAAAATATCTGTGTTAAGTAGTAAGTGTGTGTTTGCCTATTTCACCCTTTTGTGGCTCTGAGCGGGGGCCCTTCTTATGTCACAGAGGTTACTAGCTCTTCTTTTGGGGTAATTTACTGCACTGAAAGGAATCTGTGTCATTCCCCCAAGCACTGCATTGGCACAGGGCTGGGAGATTTTGCTGTTGTTTTGGTTTGGGGGTTGTATTTTTTCCTTTCTAAACAGGGAAGCTCATCTCACTGCCTCCATTTTTCCCCCTTTAGAAGTGAGCACCTTGATTATTACTCTGTCTTCCGCGATTTGACTACCTCTTTATTTACAGTGCTGGAGGAGTGTTATTATGGCATCTTGGTCAACCAGAACAACACAGCTTCAGCTAAAATTCAGTACCGTGTTATCCACCCACTCTGTCTCAACTCCTAACTTGTGCCTCTCCGGGTGTGAAATAAAAAAAGAAAAACAATTGTTATGTGTAAGGGTGTATTTTCTGATGCCTGTAGGTACTTTACTTCCCTCCTATGTAATTACACTTTAATTTTTTTATTAATTATTAGTAGTACTGCTAATTAAAAGACACACCAGAGGTTTCCCTGCACAACAGTAATTTTTTTTTGTTTCTCCTAAAACCCTTCTTAGCCGTGCCTACCAAGTCCTTTTCTCTAAAGCAGACTTTAGCCAGAGTTACCCCTCCAACCTCTCCAGCCTCCTCTCGCTCTCTCACCCTGCCCCTGCCTCCTTCTCCAGGGCCAAAACACACAAGCTGCAAGCCGGGCTATGGCGCCCGGGTTGCCCTGGATGTACCTACCCGTAGATCGCATCCTTGTCCCGCTTCAAGGCGTCGTTGACAGCCGATCCCATGCTGGCCGGCATGACATTGGGGTGCGGGGCGTGGGCTCCATAGTGCTGGCTGGCATGTAGCGGCGGCCCGTGGTTCAAGTGGTGAACCGGGGGGATCGGCCGTGGAGCGTGAGGGTCTCCGTACATGGAAGCCGGCACCCCTACTCCGTCCATCCCGCCGTAATGGGGCAGCTCATCGTACTGTCAAAAAATGGGCCGAGAGAGAGAAAGAGAGAGAGAGAGAGTAGAAAGGAGGAGGAAAAAAAACAAAACAAAAAACAAACAACAACAACAAAAGTCAGAAGAGAGTAAAGCACCCAGACAGACACAACACAGCAAAACCAAACAGAACAGCCTGCTTCAATCAAGGAAGAAGAAACCCTAACAAGGAAACTGGGATGAAAAGGAAGGAAATGAAGGAGAAACTCGAGTTACTCTGAATGAGAACGCAAAGAGCAGAAATAAATGAATAAACAGACTCAAAAGCCAATAAATAAATAAAGAACTAAACACTGGGAAGAGGAGAGGAGGAGGAAGGGTGCATGGGGGGGAGGGGTGGAAATATCAAGGAAGAAGAAACCCTAACAAGGAAACTGGGATGAAAAGGAAGGAAATGAAGGAGAAACTCGAGTTACTCTGAATGAGAACGCAAAGAGCAGAAATAAATGAATAAACAGACTCAAAAGCCAATAAATAAATAAAGAACTAAACACTGGGAAGAGGAGAGGAGGAGGAAGGGTGCATGGGGGGGAGGGGTGGAAATAATCTGAAAGTTACCAGAAACATTATTTAGTAGCAATTCCCCTTGTCCTTGTCAAAGTCAGAGACAAAACAAGCAGCAATGTATGTGTGTGTAGATATATGTGTATATATATCCCAGGCAGCAGCAGCGGCAGCGGCGGCAGCAGCAGCAGCCAGCCTCCCCTTGTGAAACCCGTGCTACTGAGCAGCTAGAGTAGCAGGGAAATCGCGCTGCTGGGGGAAAAGCTGGAGAGGAAAAAAGCGTGGAACAATTGCAGAGACACACAGAGAGAGTGAGAGAGTGAGACACACGCGCGCACACACACACACACGCAAAGCTGGTGAATAATTTTTGCTGCTATTTTTTAATACTGGCCGCCATCATCATCAGCAACAGAGGAGAGCAAATCGGACAGGCCCCTCTTAAGAGAGGATTTATATATAGGTAAGTGTTGGAGATTTAAACCTACCCTTTGCGCCATCAGTCTGCGCTCCAATAAACTCCTGGATGTGTCGTATATTTAATATCCCAGTCCAGAAAAGAAAGTGATTTACAATGAAGAAGATTCCTTTTTTTTTTGGCAACCCACTTATAGACTTCTCTTATTCTCCCGTTTGGGTCAATAATAATAGTAATAATGACAACAATAATAAAAAATAATCAGCCAAGAACCACGATGTTTTCCTTTTTCTTTCTCTCTCTCTCTTTTCCTTTTTTCTTTCTCTAAGCAAAAAAAAAAAAAAAATAAAAAAATAAAAAAAATTGTCAAGCCCCCAAACTGAAGGTTACGATCGGCCCGTCAGCAACCCACATGTAACCAAACTGTCGTGTCTCATGGCTTTTTGCCACTCCAGCTGTCAATCAAAGCCAGGGAATGTCAAGGTAGTGAATGAATGATGGTTGATGATGATGAAGAAGAGAGGAGGAATCTTTTTAACCCCGGTTTCTTCTTCCAGTAACTCCGCGTTTGGGTTGTGCCTTTTAGGATCGCTATAGGTTTTTTTTTAAGTACTAGGAAGGGGGGTGGGGAAAGATGCGAAGAAAAATTGAATAGTTTGCGAAACCTGGACTTCCCCCTTTCTCTCTCTCTCTCTTTTTTTCCTGGTAGGTATTTTGTCTCTCTCTCTGAGATGAGTGAGTGTCAGTAAGTGTTGGCAGGTTGGCTGCTGGCTGGCTTATAGAAGAGGCTCAGTTTTGCAGCGCTGATCGGCGGGAGAATGAAATGACGGAACCCGGAAGTAGTGGTGGCCATAGCCAGTCCTACAACAGAGACACATACAAGGGAGAGGGGAGAGGGAGAGGAGAGCACAGGGAGAGAGAGCGCGCGCGAGCGAGCGAGCGAATAAAGCCTGTGATATGCAGAGTATGTAATCAGGACTGCTTCAACGCCACATGGGGGGAGCCATACCACAGATCATACCCATAGCAAATCAACCTTCCTTTTCATATAGGAAAGAGGGAGTGTGTGAGAAAGAGGGAGACACAGGAGGAGGAGGAGGAAGAGAGAGAAAGTGTGTGTGTTTGAGAGAGAGGGGAAGAGGGAAAACTGCAGAAAGCAAGAAGAAAAGTACGATAGGAGCCTAGACCTGGTTTGGTTTTCACTAGATTATTTTACCAGCGAAATCTATACTGCTTTACCGCGCTGTTTAGCATATTGTTAACATTGTTTTTATCTTCAGATACCACGGTAGTCGCGGACGGTATGCAAGTCTGTGGGAATCGACAGTTAAAACGTAAAGAGGCATATAAAGTTGATCTTCCATAGGAAACAAGCTTTGCTTTTCCCAAGTACTGCGTCTCTGCCAGAATGTGATGTTTAAAGTGTGGTTTCTTTACTTGTGTGAATTCCTTACGCTGTTGACAAATTAATTTTCCAGGACCTGAAGAGAACACCTCATTCCAACTATATCTGGCATTGTTCTTCATTAAGTGTTCGCTTCTATCAACTGCAGTTGTGATGTGCGGGGGAGGGGGAAGGGGGGAAGAAGGGGAAGGAAGGACATCCCTTTAGTTTTGTGATGGGGTTTTCAGTCTTTAAAAGAGGCTTTAAAACAAAAATCATAGTCACTCTTGTATGAGAAGCCCAAATGTTATGCAGATTTTGTTTGCAGGTTCAATTTGAGCATGTCATTGGGTCTCGTATGTATGTATGTATGTACGTATGTCTGTGTGTATGTTGCTGGACTTGCTCTATATCTCTGTTGTATTTGGGGAATGTATGCTGAAGTATTAACTCGGTAATGCCTTCTAATGGTAGTGCTAATTACAGTAGGGTTATTTAGCAAATTAAGTGAGCTGGTGCACCCCCCTGGAGCACCCAATGAACTTTTTTTACACACACACACACTCTCTCTCTCTCTCTCCCACACACACACACACACACACACACACACACACACACACACACACACACACACACACACACACACACTTCTCTCGCCCAATCACTGCAGGAACTAAAGCATGCCTTACCTCAGAGCAGTCAATTACCAAAGCTACCCAAGATCATCAATCATGAAGGATGCTTGAAATTTAGGGGCGGAGCGATGGTCAAACTATCGATTGCTGCACTTTTGTCCTCTCTTCCTCCCCCCCCCCCAACCCTTTCTCGTTCACGGTTCCCTGCACATAAAATCTAAAACAGACTATCCCGTTAATAGTGGGATTTATCAATGATTATGTTCCCAGTTGTGAATGTGGCCTGATACATAGATGGCTTTTAAACATACATCGCAAAAATGTATTTGAGTCAGTTAGGGATTGTTTATTATTGTTTTCTTAAGATTTTTTTTAAACTAACTAGCTAACTAAATGAATAAAAAACCCAAAGGGTAATTATAGAAATTTGGCTAGATTTTAATGGGCATAGAGAATGAGCTCCAGAGGTCAATAAACCCCTCGAAAATGATGAATGATTGAGTACCTGTGATGATGATAGTGATTACCGGAGCAATTAAACAGTTTGATTAAATGAGCCATCATAACAATGATGTCTGCGGGAAATCAGCCCTCACATATAAAGAAAGATAGTGTGTAGGGCTGACAAACGCCAGTGGGCATTCCTACGAGTTCTGATAGGGGTGAGCCCTGCAGAGCAGACTGTATTTACAAATATGAGAGCAATATGGAGCAAAGTCACTCCGGTACTTTTAGTTAGACTTGCACCCGGCTTAAAAATCGTCAGAAGCCGAAGAGCAAACCAGTGGTTTTTTTTCCCCCCTAGCGGATCTCCTCCAAGATTAAAGCTAGCCCTAAAAGCAACCGATATTCTGTGATTGACTTTCACGGGACTATAAAGAAAGGTGAGTAAACAGCCCTTAGTATGTAGATCTCTTTCCAGAAGTGGTTAACTCTTGTTTTGCAGTATTTTATACTCTGTCGTATAAATCGGTAACGCAATTCAACATATTCATGGTAATGAATACTTGGCTAATCCTTTGGGTGCACGGAGACCTACAGAGCAGTAGGTTATGCAAATCCTTTCCTAGTTTTACAGCTGTACTTTTCTAACAGATTTTTTAAGAGATCTAGTCATTGATGAATGGTATTTGCTTTTTTTCGCTTCCTAGAAAGGTGCCAAATTCCTAAACTTCACCGGAATCATTTGACCAAGGTACCTCCAAAACACCTAAAGTGCTGGGCTATATTTTTAGATGTGTAGCTTTTCAACTTATTTTCTAATAGAGACAGTATGAATTCAGCCGTGTGTCTCATTTCATATAGGTTCCGAGTGTATGAGAGGGTCTTTCACTGTAGTATAGCTGTATAAAAGTAATCTAGTTCCACTGAAGTCTTCAGTGGATTTGTTCTGATTCCAGGCTATATGTATTGTGATGAAAGTTTATCCGTTTCCTTCGAAAAAGGAAGTTTCTACACCACTTGATTTACAAAGAGCGCGCTTTATTAATTGTATCATTATTTTATACTTCGTTTTTTCACATGCCAGATTTTCATACTATTCAATGTGGATTTCTATTCTCCAGACTAAAGAATTGCTAGAGAGCAACATACATATAGCTACAAAAGCAGCAAAACAGATTTTTGCAGCACCAAGCTCTATTCTTTTCACAATTTTCATTTTAAACTAAAGCCCTTGAGCTGGCTAGCTCTGGTGTGGGGGTGCCATTTAGAAGCAGGAGCAACTTTTAAAAATTAATTTAAGATGATAGAAAGTGAAATTTCATGTGGTCAGCTAAAGGATTTTCATGCTCCCCGTTGTGTCATTTTTTAATGCACAGGGTTGAAGAATGATGGGATCTTTTCCCACTGTCCCAGTAGATTAAAGCAGTTTAATTTAAAGCAGTTTAAAGCGCTACAGAGCCATTAGAAGATCTAAATGTAATGCCCCAAAATATTTGATATATTCAGGTTTAGGTCTAAATGTAAGAAACAGAAGCAACAGCACTCTTGAGTTGGGGTGTGTGTGTGTGGGGGGGGGGGTTCCCTCCCGCATGGTGGAGTACTTTTAAAAAATCAGTAATTTTGGGAGATTAAATTGGCTGATTTCCAATTTCGGGTGCACACACTACAAAGGCTGTTCCCGTGAAAAGTATGAGAGAGACGCATCATTTGTTTTTTTGCAGGTCAGACCAAAGTCCAAAGAGAAATTAGGTGTCCGGTGTGGAAGTGCATCTCCGTCAACAGCTAGCTCCTTTTGCCGAGGCTGGAAATGGTTTTAACAGGCGGTAAAATTTCATCTTGTGGTGTCAAATTGGGGTCAGTTTGGGGTTAGAGCTCTCAGTGTCCGAGAAGGAGCTGTCCAGCTGTGTGGGGATTCATTAAGGGCAAAAGATCCGTTTCAAGAAAAACAATGCAAAGACAATCAGAGGGCTAAAGATCCTCTTCAAATCGCATTTTACAAGTGCACCAGAACAAATATGGACGCTGAAACCTATTTCCTTCAAACTCCCAAATCGGCTTCTTAACTCTTGGAGGGAGTGAGAGAGAAACATCTTCTAAAACTTAAAGAGTCTGTTTTCAATCAGCCTTTCCGAAATGTGGCATCTTTAGGCTTTTGCTGGCTTTGAGATCTGCCTCTATTTCTGAGAGCCCCTGCAAAACCGGACTTGCACAACAGGTAATATTTTAGCCGTAAGAAGGATGTTCCATTGTTTATCTAGACCACTGCTTTTATGCACAGTGCCATATTTTGTTGCAAATAGAAAGTTTGGGGAAACAGGCTATGCTTTCACGAAATCACTGTTTAGTGTTCGGAAATCCTATTCTACTTCCTATAGGCAGTCATGTGGGTTTAATAGATATTTTAGGTAGTTGACTTTGGGGTCCCTAACACTGGAGAGTACATATTGTTAATCTGGTTTATTAAATTTTGAAAATCCTTTTAGCTTTCCTACCTTTGCTAAAACAATTGACGCCTTGCTAAAGGGGACAAATGGTTTGAACCTTAATAGTGTTTATAACTTTAGTCACTGTTACTTTCGGTGTTGGTTTGCTGAGTCGAAGTATTTTTTTTCCCGATCATGCAAATGGTAACGAGAAATGTAAACTGTCCTCTATATTTGCAGACAAACTGTAATGGAAAGGTGAGGGATTTTGCACAATAACAAGAATTATTTTGTATATTTTAATTTGTATTTTTCTTGGAATATTGTTGAATGAAATACATCAGATTTAATGACGAAAGAAATAAATCTGTTAAAATGCTCTGTAGGGTTCTAAAATAACCATAACGATGTA